TGTTTTGTTGTTTGTTTGGTTTGGTTTTGAGACAGGGACACTATGTTGCCTGGGCTTTAACTTCTCGGCTCAAAGGATCCTCCTGCTTCAGCCTCAGTCTATAACAGGGGTTCACTTGATGCTTTGACTATATCCCCAATGGCTTTGAAACTTACATTTTTTTCTTTTCCCCAACATTCTTCTCCCTGATTTTCTTTTCCCTAATCTGCTCTTTCCTGATCGTCTCCTTCCTGATCTCTTTTCCCTAATTTAATTTTCTGTGAATCATCTTTTTTACTTTTTTAAATTTTTTAATTTATTTTTTTAAAGAGAGAGAGAAGAGAGAGAGAGAGAGAGAGAGAGAGAGAGAGAGAGAGAGAGAGAGAGAATTTTGAAATATTTATTTTTCAGTTTTTGGTTGACACAACATCTTTATTTTATTTTTATGTGGTGCTGAGGATCGAACCCAGCGCCCTGCGCATGCCAGGAGAGTGTGCTACGGCTTGAGCCACATCCCCAGCCCCCTGAATCACCTTTTCAAAATGTTCCTGCTGATGGGCAGAATGACAGCCTTTGGGACAGTAGTCCCCTGTGTTTCTCCTTTGCTAGCAAAGCAATAAACCATTTTCCTTTTTCTCAAAACTGTGTCCTCATTATTGGATTGACATCGGGAACAAGAACTGAGCTTTTGGTAACAAGTCCCTCATAACTACATGAGGTTTTTATATTTTAAATTTTTCTGGTGCTGGGAATTGAACTCAGAACCTGGCATATGTAGCTAAGCACATACTTTGCACACCCCCAGCCTCCCTCAGATTTTTTGAAAATGAGATCTCTTTGGGAAATTTATGAGCAATGGATATGTGGAAATGTTTCCTAATTGGGTTTTATGTCCCAACTGTAAGCACAAATAACCAAAAATGGGAGCAGACCTCACTCAGACCAGCAAGCTGTCTTTATTAAGCCGCGGTGGAATAGCACATGCCACATTTTCAGGGAAGAAAATGACAACCAGTTTGAAGAGAGGTCTGTTTTATACAGGTCTTGATGAGAATTAATCATAGCAGAGTGTTTAGTGTGACTTAATCATTAGAGACTTGGAACATGCCAGCTGGGCAGTCGGAAAACTAGTTGTGCAGGTTAAAAATCTAACTCAGGAAAACAGCTGTAAGAGCTTGAAACTCATTCCAACTTAGGGAAACAGCTGTCAAAGCTTGAAACTCATTGTTACTGGGATAAAAAAATCCAGAGCCAGAGCCCATTTGCTTATCTTCTCTCTCCTTGGACCCACTGTCCTTGGGAAAGAATAAAAGCCCATATTCAGGGCCTAATGTTTGCCTTCCCCTTCTCCCATCCCAGATCACATTGTCCTCCTTTTCTCCCTGGGCCTGTCATTTCTTGTTGCTTGGGGGATGTTGTTTGCCATATCCTTCATTAACCAGCTTCCCATCTTGTCTGGAAAGTTTTTCAACTCTCACCAATTCAGCACTCATAGGTTTCTGTGTAAGCAAATGTCTTTGGTTCTCATAGTCCCCCACTTCATTAGCTTTAGGGTGAAATCATGTCTGTTCATGAATTAAACCCACGGGGGCCCACATTAAGAATTTCAACTTCACACCAGCATTTTTAATGACTTCCTAGTAATAAACAGCAAGGATGTATCATAATGTATTTATCTAGGTGACTTGCTGACATTTAAGATGTTTTTAACCACTCTGGGATAAGCATCCTTATAATTAAATCTTTTCACATTTCCATGACTATTTTGTTAGGATAAATTTGTATAAATGGATCAAAGGTATGCCAAATTTTAAAGCTTTAGGTTTGGCAGAAACATTTAAGTTCTATTTCACAAATGAAGAAAGTGAGGTTGTAGTGGTTTACAGTTAATAGATCTTTAAACTCAACTTTTCACTTCTCAGATGATGCATCATTCACAGGTTACCACATGGAAACCATTTGCCACTGGATGAGGTTTTGCACTCTGAATCATTCCATTGTGTGCAATGCTGAGGTTACTTTTCTATATTTTCTAGCTTTGCCACATGCATGTAGATTAGGTGCAGGTTGTTCTTATTGCATTTCTATTTAATGGTCTAGGGCCATTGCTAGGTATTTTGTTGAGTGTTTTCAGTCACTTAATTTCTCAGATTTCAGGAGGATTGTTTCTGGCACATAGGGGTACTTAATAGATTGTTAATCATTGAATGATATTGAATAGTTACAACAATCCTACTATTTCAGAGGACTGGCTGGTTTTAGAAATTTTATGATCCATCTTGATTTATAATATTTATGCTCTACATGGAAATTTCTGTGGATTTTTGGAAAGGTCCATGGTTATTCTAAATCTTACAACTACATAGTTTTGTAATAATGTTTCTTGCGTTTTGTATGTTACCTTATTAAAGGTATGGAGTTAAGGAAATCAGCGAAAAAGGGAGCTGGACTCCAATGCTTATTTTTCTTTCCCCAAGACTAGTATCAGGTTGAAATAAACAAATGTTTATGGAATACCTACATGAGCTGGGTAGACTGATTTGTGAAATCCTAGTTTAACTAATATCATCATATGGTCAAACTCCGATTTCCATCAGATGATCTTTTTTATCTATATTTTTGTGCTCTTAGGAATTGAGCCTGAGGTCTCATGCACTCTCCACTGAGCCACATCCCCCCCCAAATTATATTTAGATTTACACATTATAATAAGGTTGGTCAAATAAGTTGTTTAAAACAGTGGAAAGAGTGACCAACAGGGATTAATTCTATGTTTTATATGGTTCAAAGTGAGGAGATGATCTAAATGTAACTTTAGAAATCATAGTTTATTGCTACACAAGAAGGATTTTTTCCTTTTAGGTTAATATTGTTTAAAGAGGGGCAAAATCAGAACACACTTCACAGAGAATACGCTTGATATATAATATATATTAACCACATAATGAGTGAATTCCAAGTTAGAACTCAATTATTAATTGCTTAATTAGGATGGAAGTAGGCCTCTGTGGAAAGTAAAGTCAAATTAAAGAGTGAGGTGAGTCTTTGTAACAGTGTTCTGGGGGAGAGATGGCATTTATTATACTGGGGGGAGTCCTTGTTTCTAGAGAATTGTGCAGGAGGGTGAGGCTTTAGGGGTTGGCTGGGAGGCTAACAGATTATGACCCTATCATAGCCTGAGCTAGTGTTATTGGAGAAGTTGCTGAGAGTGTAAACTCTGCCTGAGCTCTTAACAAGTCTGCCAAACTCTTGAGTTTATATGTATTTTGAATTTTAGTAGTTAAGGTCAGTAACTCACATGTGGGGCCTGATAAGGTGTGAAGTCATATTCTTCAGGGAAGGAGTGTTGTTCCAAGTTCTTATTGTAGCAAAACCTATCACTCACTAGCAAACTATGTGTTATAGAATCATTTCAAAGATACATGATTCTGGGCTAGCCGTGTGGACTAATTTCCTGGGTTTGTATCCTGATCATCAAATCATATTAATAGTGCTTTGCTAAAGTGAAATTCAAATTATACAAACACAAACATCTACATTTCTGTCCTTCTATACTGCAGACTGATTCATTTAGAACATGTTCTTTAAATAATATTTCATGTATATTACGTATATTTAATTTTTATAAAATGTTTAATAATCTTAGGTAATTAGGTGTTTTTAGATTAGATGGTTTGGGATGGTATTTTGAATTTATTTTAAATACTGTAATGTACTTTTTGGTGCTCATAGTTGGGGAAACTAAACATTTACAAAATGGGTCTCTTGTTCATTTGAGTAAGGATATCTACCGATAACAAACTGAAAGAAGCACTCTTACACCTTAAATTACTTTTAAATCACCTTCACACCTGCTTAATTTAAACAAGTATGAAAAACAAAGCTCTCTCACAGCTGTTTCCTTTTCTACCTGTAATAATTTTACATTCCTTACCAGCTACCATGAATAGCAGTTAACATGATCTATGCACTCTAAAAAAAAAGTTAATGTGTTTCTTTTTCTTTCTTTTCCTTCTTGCAGTATTAGGGATTGAACCCAGGTCCTCCATTATGATAGGGAACTGTACAATTTAGATACATTCTAGCTCTTTTTAAATTTTATTTTGAGACAGGGTCTAGCTAAATTGCCCATGCTGGCCTACAACATAGGATCTTTCTTGCAAGCCTCCTGCTTCAGCCTCAGAGAAGCTGGGATTACAGGCATGCGCCGGAACACCCTGCCCTAAAAAGGTAAATGATGTCAGTAGTTACTAATAATAAATTACAGTATATTTTAGTCAAAACGCAACAATGTATTAGTAATTTATCTGACACACTAGTTTGACTCAAATAATATTCTCTTCACTGGTCAACTTAGCAGTACCGTTTTCATGACTGTAAGTAGGCACATTACAAACAAACAAAAAAATAAATCAGTATATTTTGGTCGCTGCAGCATTAAACATCTAATTATCGAGGTTTGGCCACAAGATGCAATTCCGTTGTTTTCTGGGAGCATAGGTGGCTAACTGAATAGCCCTCCTCGTCTCTTACTATGGGGTCAAAAAAGCCTTATGCACTTAACCACTGTCCCCAGGATTTGAAGACATTTGGGTATTGGGGCGGGTTGAGAACCATTTGTCAATGCCGCTAAAGACTTCCTATGAGAGTGGGCAATTGATGGTAAAGAGGTAGGGGGGCAGGTTATTTCCGGGAAAAAGCCTGGTCGATTGTCCGTAAAGGAAGGGTGACTTGAAGAACATGGAGAGCCGCCAGCCGGTCTGTTCGGTTCGGTTGGGCGGTGGCCTGGCTCTGCGCGTGGCTGCAGGGAACAAGGAACCGCTAGCTCGCTGCTCAACTCGCACCCGTCCCTTCCCTCCTTCCAGCCGGGCGCGCTCCCGGACTCCCGCGACCCCGCCCCTCCGTACGCCCGCCCATCCTGCTCACGCGCCCCGCCCGAGTTGGCTGGTCGGAGCGTCCGGTGGGCGGGGCGCCGCGCTGACGTTGCCCGGGATGCGGACAGGTTCCGCCGCCGCCTTCGCCGCCTCCGCCTCTTCTGCCACCGGGGTTTGTATGAAAACACCGGGCGGCGGGCTGCGAAGCATCCGCCGCGCGCCCAGCGAGCAGCCGCCGGTACTGACGGCCCGGAGCCGGGTGCCGAGCCTGGAGCGGCGGCTCTGTGCAGTCCCCGCCAGCGCCCAGCTTGAGCCGGTGAGCGTCCCCGCCGCTGTCCGCTCCTCCGCAGCCTCCGGGCCGCGGGAGTGGCGGGCCGCGGCGTCCTGGGGCTTGGGGTGCGCCTTCGAGTCCCGTAGCCCCTCACTTGACAGCTTGTGTATCGCGTGTCTTTTTTGCGGGGCGGGGAGTTGGACTAGATCTTCAGGGAAACCCTTGATGGGTTGGAGCTTTGCCTGGCGTTTGGAAAACGCTACGTCTTATCCCCGCCCCTCGGACACCCGGCCACCTTAGTCCTTATTCCCGGCATAGGGGTCCTCCTCTCCAGCCAAGCTCCGGTAGCCGCGCGGAGTGCCGTCGAAGGGCGGTGGGGCAGGGGGCTGGGGGCTTGCTGCTTGCACCTTGTTTCGGGCCCGCACCGGCGTGAGCCCGCCGCCTGTGCTTCGGAAACCCTACGGTACCGGCGGAGAGCCAGCAAGGAGGGGTTTGTGCATTGGCGATGGTAGTGTTTGCTTCCACGAGCGAGCTGGATGGTTCGCGCTGAAGTGTATTCTGTGTTTACAACTTGTCCGCTTGTGGGGTTGATTGGAACCAGAATCATATCACCCTAGATGACAGTGCAGAGTTGCGGGTTCTCGGTTGTTGGTGTTCAAGGATTCCTGTACCCAAATGCAAAGACTTGCTTGGCTTTACCTTTGTTTTTCTCACAAGCTTTTTATGAGCACCAGGACCGTTTGAATTGGTTGGGTTCCTTTTCTGGGCGTTTACCCACTGTAGAATGGAGTTTTAACACATCATAGTGTAATCAATGTGAATGTTGATGATCTAAAACTCATTTCCCGTTTTAATATAGCTTGCTTAAGTGCTTGCCCAAAGATAACACTTAACGGAAATTTTCTTTAGCAACATGCTAGTAATTCTTTGTGGGTATTGAAAAAAACATCCACACAGAATTTTTTCTTAAGGTGCTCAAAATTGTATTGGTGTTTAATTGATAGTTTTAGTTAGAAAGGACTTTCATAATCTTCTTGATCACTCATTTTCACCTACTTTTTCTTTGTGTAAATCGAATTATCACTTTCTTTGTTACTGTCTGAATTATTCTTACAAATTCTTTTTTTCTCCGAAAAACAGAAAGTTATTTTTATAATTGTGTTGTGGAATGTTTTCAGTTCAGCATACCAAAAAAGAAGTGATTTATTTAAGGCACTTTAAATGGTACATATTTTAAAACATGTGCCAAATGTTAAAACCAAACAGCCCTGGAACATAAGAAGTTCCTATGTAGAATTACTGATAGTTGGTGGTGTGTAATCCATTCCCTGTTTCTCGTCCTGAAGTCTCAGTTCTGTGACTTGTTCAGTTTCCCATTCTACTTCTCTTGAGTCAAATTCTACAATGAAGGTATAAATTCATTTATAATAGCCTCAATGTGCTGCCTTGAATTGGTTCATCACATGTTTAAAACTGCATTCTCACTTTAACTCTGAAATGAAGGGGGTAGGCTTAAAAACTATTCTTATGTTTGGCCATGCAAAACATTAAATCTATTATAATTTAAACTTGTAGAAGTGATTTTTATAAAGTTTTCTAATTGTCTTGAATCAAGGCTTTAATTCTTCTAAGTATGGCTAGACTGCTATGAATGATTTACCTCCATATTGAAAGGAGGTCCAAGACTTGTGAAATTTTGTAGTTTATGTTCTATATTAAAACTCCTCCACAGTGTTCATCTTCAGAATCTCCTCTTGCTTGAAGTCCCCCAGTACCTGCATATTGAACAGTATACATGAATAATAATGGATAAATCTGTCTTCTGTAAGTTAGGAGCTTTCATTAAGGAGGGGGTGTTAATGTAAACAACAAAAATTGTGTAGGGTGGGCACTGAATTTTAAACTTCACATGTTATTCTTGGTTACTGTGTAGTTCTGTAGTTTGGTGGCTAGGGATTCGGGCCTCTGCCAGATTGGCTGGGTTTGAGTCCTGACTTTGCTTTAGGCAAGCTGTTTATCATCTTTGTGCTTCAATTTTCTCAACTTTGAAAGTGGGGATAGCAGTGATATATACCCTTAAATGATCTTGCATATTAAAAGTTAATACATGTAAAATGCTTAGTTCACGCACTGCTTAGCACATGTGTAGACTAAGTAAATAATAATATGTTACTGCTTTCCTCAGTCTTCCAAGAGATCTAGTAGACTGAAAAAAGACTTCAGGCTGGGCGCTGCACCCTGTAATCCCAGTGGCTCAGGAGGCTGAGACAGGGAGGACATTAGTTCAAAGCCAGCCTCAGCAATTTAGCCAGGCCCTAAGCAATTTAGTGAGACCCTGTGTCAAAGTGTAAAATAAGAAAGGGCTGGGAATGTGGCATGGTGGTTAAGCACCCCTGGGTTCAATTCCTGGTACTCCAAAAAAAAAAAAAAAAAAAGATTTCAGGCCGACAGGCAATATTAGTGCAGATTAATTCTGTTATGATCAATTTATTCCTTTTATTCCTTTGGGGCTGAGAGCTTAGTCTCACTGTCCTGCCTTTGAAACATGTAAGTCAGTTTTAAATAGAACAGCTACACCAAGAGCGGGGTGCACTAGGATATTGCTGGAGAGTTTCTGAAATATCCTTGTCTGTTTCTTCTGATAGAACCTTGGATTATCTCCCTCATGTTGGTGTTGGCTACTATTTTAATCACCTGTTTTTGAGCTGTTGTTGGTGTTTCTTTGATATGTGCTGTTATCAAAAGTACTATCTATCAAAATTTTAATGTATATATGTGTTTATCTAATATACAAAATAACTTTTATCTAAACATTCTTCTTTTTATTTTCTTCTTTAATGATGTTGCATAGAGTGAAGTTTTGATTTGATATTATCTTCCTTTTCAACTTTCATGCAGTTTTCCTAGGAATTTTTTCCTCTCGCTAATGATTTTACGTGCTAGTTCTTAGTTTGTGTGGATCTGATACAAATGGAGTGTCTCTTCTTCAACATGATTGGGGCCAGAGGTGTTTCAAAATTTTGTTTTGGATTTTGGAATATTTGCATATACTTAATGGGATATTTTTTTGGGTTGTACCCAAATCTAATCAGGACATTCATTTATATTTCATATATACTTTATACACATATTCTGAAGATAATTTTAAATAATATTTTTAGTGTGCCTCATTTTGACTGCAATTTGTTAAATGGGGTCAGGTGTCAATTTTCCACTTGGGAGTTAAAATTATAAATTTTTATTTTTTGGATTAGGGGTACTCAACCTGTATTAATATTCTATTCTTAGATGTTTTCAAACTTTTGGTTTTTGGACTCTCACATGCTTAAAAAGTTGTTGAGAAACCTCAGAAAGTTATCTGTGGATTACACCTCTACATAGTGTGAGAAGAGTGGTATTGTTTTACATTTTTGTAAATATTTTGAGATTTTCTTTTCTTTTTGTAGTGCTAGGGAGTAAACCCAAGGCCTGTCATAAGCTAGGTAAGTTCTCTACCACTGAGCTACATCCTCAGCTTCATTTTTTATAAATTGTTAATATCTAGTTTAATGCAAGCAGCTCGATTATTGCAATTTTTTCTGCATTTAGTCTATTGCAGTATACTTTGTTTAGATTGATGTACATGTATGTAGCGCTCCAGCCTCATATAGTTAATAATTGGAAAGGGAGGAATATTTTAATTGTCTTTTCAGATAATTGTGGATAGTCTTGTTTGGCATTCCATCAAAACTCGACAAATGGCACTTTCTTAGGGTTGGTTGAAATGTGGAACTTGAAGTCATATCATTAAATTTTTTCATACTCTGTTAGATTAAAATCCATTAATTTGAACTCTGAATTGACTAATGCTTGAATTTATGCTTGAATGTATAACATCATTCTTTGACCATTTGTAAATATTGGTTCAGTGACTACCCATGCCTAACTTTGTGACATCATTCCTTGGTCATTTGTAAATAATGGTTCAGTGAGTTATACACATCTTCCAAATATTGATATATTTCATTATACAATACCAAAGAAAAGTCACATTTGTAAATATCACTGTTATTTCATCAGAAACAGATTGCTGAGAAGCTGTCTACATTGAGATGTGATTGTGGGTATGAGTTTTCCCAAGTTCTGATTTTTTTTCTAGAATGCTCAAGTTTTATCATTGGCAACAGGTATGATTTGCCAATTGTTTTCTTGAAGTGACAGTTTCACTTTATGTATGAGAAATCCTTTTCCAGAATACCCAAATTTTGGTGACAGTAACCTTTTATTTTCCACATTTATTTATTGATGGTAATCATAATCTTTTAGACATTTTTTTCAAAATGGTGTTTCATGAAAAAAGTCTAAATTTAAACTTGCAATTCAGTTATAGAACTGCATTGCCATGAAACATCCATTAACCATTATAATTATGTGGCAGAAATGTTTTGTGCATACTTCTTCTTTTAACATACAGAATAGTAAGAGTTGTACCTTCAAGGGCTTGGATTTAATAAAATTAACAATTTATTGATTATTCAAGAACATTCTTAAGTGAAAGTAGATTTTTTTCTTCCTGTAAAAATATATCATATAAATATTTATTTTTTAGTTGTAGTTGGACACAATATCTTTATTATTTATTTATTTATTTTTATTTGGTGCTGAGTTGTCGCGACCCCTTGCCCGCAAGGAAGACGCAACTCAGGAATCTTCTTTCAGCAGTTTATTCAGGCCCTTGATATTTCTTCTTCTTCCTCTCGGATGCCCCTCCCAGCCTTAATAAAGCATCCCAAGCCCCAATGCAAAGCTGCCGCGTGGAGCTTTCTCACAGGGTGGTGAAAAATCATGTGCCAACTTTCCCAGATAAGGAGTTGTTTGTCACAGACCACAGCGGAGCCAGCGTCATCTTGTAATGGCGACCATAGTCTGCAGAAACGGCAGAAGCGGCTCACCACACTGAGTATCAAACCCAGGGCCTCGCAAGTGCTAGGTGATGGCTCTATTGCTGAGCCACAATCCCATTCCATCTTCCTGGTGTTTGAGGGTGAAAAATATAATGATTAATA